CATAGAGAAGGGCAAAAACTGCTCAGACTGTTTCTATCCTTTAAATGTACCAGAAACCATAATGTGTAATAGCGTAGAGATAACCGTTTGGACGAAAGAGGTCGAATTTAAAAGGCATCCTAACAGTTTGCGTAGGCTTACCTGCTCGTTTCCAGCAGCTCGTATACCATCAACAAGTGAAGCGATAATGAGATCTCTGTAAAAAGATAGTAGGTTGCTTGTTAAAGAAAAAAGGGAAAAGTTGTGAATTTGTGCTATACCAACTAAAAAGACGAACCAATGAAGCAAAAATTGCTTATACAAAGTACCTTTCGGCAGCTGAATACACTCTGCCTTCAGCGTTCATGTACTCAACTACGAATTGTTGGGGATCTTTTTCTAAACGGACGAGACATACAATCTGAAAGTATGTACTACCTCACTGTAAACAACTGTAAACAATCTCTATTCTCCATAAAGAGCCAACAGAAAGAGATCTTCGCACCTGTTCCAATGGAGTTGCGCAAACGACAGCATATGTGGCTGGATCACGTTCCACAAGACATGTTTCACTAAGGCAAAGTAATCGACGAACGGGTTGTTCGTGACGACGACTGTATTTTTGTACTTTGAACTCCGCATAGGAAGTAATCTGATCATCTCGACTGTAAAATCAATACGTCAACAATGATAAAGGCTTTTCAACATGATGATAATGGGCAATTGTAGCAATTATGTGAAAAAGACAAATCGAACCTGCACAATCCAAGTCTTGTACGCGCGAACTCATCCAAAGTAGCAGCTTCCTTTGTTATAGGAACTATCACTCCGAGATTTTCTGCGGCTAGGCGCCGTACATCTTTGAGGAAATCATCGGTTCTTGTGGAGGCAAAAAGGTGCTGAAATACTACGATTCAACAAGACGCAAGTGAGAAACAATGGATCGAGACTTTGCTCACTGTTAAAAATCGATGCAAAATAATATTGAGCAAAGTCGAGAAGATAAATTAAAGCCTACCCTTCGGAAATGATCGCCAACGTCTATTATAAATCCGCCGGGGCAATCTGATACCTAAAAACAAAAGAAAAATATGACTAAAAATA